AAACTACTAGTCCACAATGTGTTAATATAGTTAGCCCTAGTGAAAGCTACATGTATGGACAAAAAACATGCTCATATATCTTTTACTTAAAAAAAAAAAAGAGAATATATATATGCAGCCCTGATCAGTGTGGCTCAGTTGGTTATGTGTCATTCAGTGCACTCACTGAAAGGTTGCTGGTTTGTTTCTCAGTGAGGTCCCATCCTTGGTTGGGGCATGTGCAGGAGGCAGCCCATTGATGTTTCATTCTCATGACAGTGTTTCTCTGTCCCTCTCTCTCCCCAAAAATCAACTAAAGGAAAAGAAATATGTAATTACATTGAAGAAAATTTGGCAAATAGAAGAAAAATATATCCCCAATAGTACCATAAACGCAGTGTAAATACTGTAGTATGTTGCTATAACATATAGCTTCTTTTTCTCTGCATTTTTATTTGCATAACTACTACTAATCTTGTTTGCTATTAATAGTATATAATTATGTCAGTTGTTATTGCGCAATAGAACGTGTAATTTTTTAAAAAATTTAATATATTTTTATCGATTTCAGAGAGGAAGGGAGAGGGAGAGAAAGATAGAAATATCAATGATGAAAGAGAATCATTAATTGGCTGCCTCCTGCGTGCTCCACACTGGGATCAAGCCCACAACCCAGGCATATGCTCTGATTAGGAATCGAACCCTGACGTCTGGTTCATAGGTTGACGCTCAACCACTGAGCCACTCCAGCCAGGCAGAAGGTGTAATTTTTAAGAATTAATCTTTTTTTTGCCCTGGCTGGTGTAGCTTAGTTGGTTGGAGCATCATTCTGAGCACCAAAAGGTTGCCAGTGCGATTTCTAGTCAGGGCACAACTTAGGTTGCGGATTCAATCTCTGGTGGGGGAACATACAGGAGGCAACTGAATGATGCTTCTCTCATACATCAATGTTTCTCTTTATCTTCCTCCCTCTCTTCCCCTTTCTCTCTAAAATTAGTAAAACATATCAAACATATCCTTGTGTGAGGATTTAAAAAAATACTTCCTGAAGATTCACTTAAAATTTAAAATGAGGCTAAGATATTTTCAGATATGAAAGATAAATTCTTGGGTCACTGTTTTTTGTTTTTGTTTTCTGAGCACCTAGCAGAGTCTTTTAGAACAGATAATGTTTTACTCTATTATTCTGCTTCCTCAACATCTGGTCAAGTTTCTAGCACATAGTAAGCACATAGTAAGCACTTAATGAACACTCAGGGACTAAAGGAAGAGAGGAAAATATGCACTTACACTAAACACAGAAGAGGACAGAATTACATGAGGATGCTTTTGGCTGTAAGTTACAGAATTATCAACTACAAGTGGCTCAAACAATAAGGACATTTTAAATTTTACACTAGAGGCTCCATGCATGAAATTCGTGCAGTGGGGGGAAGGGGAGATGAGTGTCCCTCAGCCCAGCCTGCACCCTCCCCAATCTTGGACACCATGGAGGATCTCCGACTGCAGGTTTAGGCCCTGTGGGATCGGGCCTAAACTGGCAGTCAGACATCCCTCTCACAATCCGGGACTGCTGGTTCCTAACCACTCGCCTGCTGATTGCTCCTAACCACTTCTGCCTGCCAGCCTGATTACCCCCTAACCACTCCCCGGCCAGCCTGATTGACACCTAACTGCTCCCCTGCCGGCTGGATCGCCCCCACTGTCCTCCCCTGCAGGCCTGGTCGCCCCCAACTTCCTTCCCCTGCTGGCCATCTTGTGACAACATGGGGGTGGCCATCTTGTGATGACATGGGGGTGACCATCTTGTGACACGAGGGTGTGAGGGTCAATTTGCATATTACCTCTTTATTATATAGGATGACAAAAGTTCAGAATCAGGGCAGCTCCAAGGTTGGTTATGCAGCTGAACAGTATCATGGAAGACCCAGGTGTTTTTCATTGTTGTACTCAGCCATCCTCAGCATATTGGTCATTTCTTTCATTATAATTGCAAGATGGATGTAGGAGTTCCAGATGCCATTAGCAGACATGTTCATGTCTGGCAAAGAGGCAGTGTTTCCTCCTGTGTATCTCTGTTTATGACTGAGGAAAACTTACAGATGCTTTTAGCTGATTTCTATTCAGATCCCGTTGGCCACTATTGGTTCATAAGCCCATGCCCTGGCTGACAAAGGCTATTGGGTAGACACTAACAGTCCCTGGCATCTAAATGCCAGAGGAAGCAATAGTAGGGAAGATGACAAAGATATGCCATAGGAGAAAGAGTAGTGATAGGAGGCAGGTTGAAAAAGCCTGTGATATAGTAGGGTGTGCATTATGCAGATACCAGTTTTGTAGAATTGTCTAAATTTGGAGATGTAAATTATAGGAAATCACAAGCACAAAATCACTAGCTCCAATCAGGTCCTTGAATGCTTCATTACTTTCATGATAAATCTTTCTTCAATGATATCCCAGCTTTCCCCACATGTAGCATCACTACGTTAGAGAGAACAGAAGACAGTTTAGGATGGAATTGGGTAACAAATTAAAAGAACAGTGTTTGCCTTTTTATTAACATTATAGAGTTCAGGTAAAGGAGGACATAGCATTTTGTTATTTAAGAAAAGGATAAGGTCCGGCCAGAGTGGCTCAGTTGGTTGAGCGTCTTCTGACGCACCAAAGGGTTGCCAGTTTGATTCCCAGTCAGGGCACATACCTGGGTTGCGGGTTTGACCCCGAGTTGGGGAGCATGCTGAGGGCAGCTGACCAATGTTTCTCTCTCACGTCGATCTCTCTCTAGTTCCTTTCCTCTCTCTATGCATGTCCTTGGGTGAGGATTGAAAAAGAAAGAAAAGGATAAGCCCTGGCTGGGTAGCTGAGTTGTTAGAGTGCTATCTCAATACACCAAGGTTGTAGGTACGATTCCTGGTCAGGGCACATACAAGAATTGACCAATGAATGCGTAAATAAGTGGAACAAATTGATGTTTCTCTCTCTAAAATCAATACACTTTAAAAAAGAATAAAATGTGTGGGGATCACAAAGATAATGGATTTTTTTTTAAAGAACCTTAAATTTTTATTAATAGTACTTTTAAACAGTTGTAGTCTCCTGCATTTTCTTTTTTTTTTAATTTTATTATTTATTACAAAGGATATTACATATGTGTCCATTTTTTCCCCCCGCCCAAGACAGTCCCCTAGCCTCCCCCATCCCCCAGTGTCTTATGTCCATTGGTTATGCTTATATGCATGCATACAAGTCCTTTGGTTG